TTCACATTTGGATTTGAATAAAAACGAGCATGTTCAATTGGAGCATGCCAGCATTGAGAAGGTGCCGCAGGGAGAATTTCAAACCACAGAAAGCACGTTTCAATAGGTTTCAACGTAAAATAGGTCACTCATTTGTAACGATGTTTTAGATGCTGTTGAAAGAAGATTTGGATTCAAAATAGATGCAAAAACTTATATTTCGATGGGCTAGGCGAAAAAAGCGAGGAGTTATCTTCTCTCTTTGGCTGGAAAGACTCCCGTGGAGTTCTTGTGTAAGTTAAGGATTTCTCCATTACTAATTAAAAACGTCAAGTATTATTGTCTCTTGCCAATGTCTCGACTTGGATTGTTCATAGGGAGTATCAAACTATACATTCAACAAGAGGTTTCTGCTCCTGCTTAACGCTCAGTAACTTAAGAGTGGAACGACTGGTTCACCCGTTGTCTGTATAATGTGACCGGGTGGGGCGTCCTGCTGGGTGTCTTCGGCAGTATGTTTCAATGAGGTAGCACTATAAAGTCGGCATCAGTTCCGCGCTATCACAAGGAGACAAACACGAAAATATCGCAGCCTCCCAAAATACACACACATACACTACACGCATGCATCTTGCACACAGGGCAGGCCGTCCTTAAATGACCTTAGCTGTTAATCGGACGTTTAACAAAATCAAACAAACAAACAAACAAATGTGACAAGGTTATGAAAAAACCCCTCACTAAAGTGTTCCTTTAGCAATTGTATATGACATCTCGTTATATCTCTGTCGTTACGTAGAAAATGATGAACATATATTTCCATTAGATAGGTTATGCGCATGCTTACGTACTACAATGTAAGTATTGGTAACAAAGTGATGACTTACAAGTGTCTATACGACTTATGTTATCGCTATGAGGCGGCAGCTATGGCATTTAATCCGTTTAAAAAAAAACCCATATGACATCTCGTTATATATCTCTGCAATTACGTACAAAATAATGAACATATAATATTTCTATTGAGTAGGTTAGGTGCATACTTACATGTATGTACTTTAGTGTGAGTATCGGTAATGAAAAGGTGATATACAAGTTTAACTGTCTAGTCTTTCAATAGAATCTAGGGCATGTAATTAAATCTCGACGTCAATAGTGCATGTTAGTCCTGGGCAGCAGCTCAAATGCTCATGCAAATTGACCGTATAGAACTGAGGTACACAGGAAAATACACAAATCTTAACGACGTGATACAGCTCGGATTAAAGTACAACATCTCTCTGTCAAGCAAAGATAAAAATTTATGGGATTTACTTACTGATACATCCATAAAATAAATAAAATACAAACGTATTGATAAAACCGTCATTCGCACTAAAAATCGATAATATGAACTAAGGAAACAGTTTTTACGAAGACTTATTAAAAATGGTAGAGGGGATAAGGCCGTTCGTTCCGGAAGAGCAAGTGTCTTCTTTTTCACCGACAAGAGAAGTTGTCAATCTAGGTCATTTCTTAGTAATGTCACGTCCTCCAAATGAGAACCGGTATAGTGATAACAAAACAAGGCCCACTAATGCACATAATCAAATAGATCGAACCTCATATAACGAGCAAGGTTATACAATATTCCTTAACTCGAGTAGATCATGGTTGCTACCATAACACTTGTTCATATACTTCATTAACCCGCATCTCTCGATATCTTGTGTGGTACGTTTGTCCGTTAGCAGTCGCCATCTATTGTATAAATCATGGCTTGAGGAACAAGCCCTTGGCAATGGGTTTTGTTTCCAAGCCGGGATATACCAAAGTCCTTAAAAATGGCTTGTTATTCCCTGTTTATCGTTCAGCATTGAGGGTAATGACAACAACTCGTTCATTCGTTGTCAGTGTAACGTGGCCGGGCGGAATGCTGTGCTGGGTGCCTTTGGCATTATATTGCAGTGATTATCACTATAAAGTCGGCATCAGATCCGCGCTATCGCAAGGCGGCAAATTCACCCACATTCCCCGACTTTTATACACAAAACACATAGAAGCACGTCCTTAAATGACCTTACATTGTAGGTGTTAATAGGACGTTACGTAGTATAATGTGACCGGGCGGAATGCTGTGCTGGGTGCTTCTAAGATGGTTTTTCAGTGAGATAGCACTAAAAAATCGGCATTAGATCCGCACTGTCACAAGGAGGCAAGCACACTTACATACTCTGCCCACTACACACATGGAGGCACGTCCTTTAATGACCTTAGCTGGTAATAGGACGTTAAAAAATATTAAACCCAGCGAAACCGAACCGATCTACTCATCCAACCAACAAATCTTGAACATCGGTTCAATTGCGATATGCAAGCACCCTATTTTGCGAAAACAGGAATATTATAATAAAGAAAGGGGAAATTCACCCTCAAAAATCAAATTCGTCACGCGTATCAAACAGTAGTTTGTCATGTTGTAAGTATAGATCAAGGTAAGCAACTGATTAAGAGAAGTGTATAGTGTATGTGTCCTTGGTTTCAAGTTTAAGAGGGTATACAGGACCGACATAGCCATTTTTTGTTTTTTTTATTATTTACAAACCTACATATCTGAATGTGAAAATGAAGCATTTGACAAGGTTTTTGTTTCCAATAGTTCTCCTTAGCTCTTCAATATTTTCAGCCTCATATGAAAAACAAACTGAAGAGGGGCAAGCCTGCCAGCGAATTCAACAAATACATTGTTAATCAACCAGGAACTGAATTATTTTTAGCGATTACATCCTAGCTGTTGTAGTGTTATTTACACAAAATTTCGCCGTTCGCCTTTCTTAGAAAGTAATACTCACATAAGACGATGAGATATTCCTTCAATTCAGTATGAGAAGTCGTGCTTAGAGTGGTAAAGTCAAATGATCCGATTGAAATAGAGTTCGTCAAAGTTCCTATTCCACTTCTGGGGTATATAATAGGTTGGGAAAACCTTATTGTATATGGATTCTTGTCGGGTTTCGAAATCCAATAAAAATGAGGAAGGTTCATATATATACACCACTACTAGGAAAGAAGTGCAGTACATAAATCATGAGTAGCATGTACATGTATGTTTATCAGTGCCCCGTATTTGTGTTATAGGTGAATATGTTAATGATTTGGTTTGGTTTGGTTTAGTATTGTTTAACGTCCTATCAACAACTATGGTCATTTAAGGATGGCCTCCCCTGTGTGTAAGATGCATGCGTGTAGTGTATGCGTGTGTGTTTTGGGAGGCTGCGATATGTTCGTGTTTGTCTCCTTGTGATAGCGCGGAACTGATGCCGACTTCATAGTGCTACCTCACTGAAACATGCTGCCTAAGACACCAAGCAGGACACCCCACCCGGTCACATTGTACTGTGAACCAGTCGTCCCACTCCTAATTTGCTGAGCGACACCTGACTTAGTTACACTTGACTGACAGAGCGACATGTATTTTTAACCAAGATATGATGGGTTGTTTGCCTAATATCGCATCCGACCTAAAACAGATCTGCTCATTCTATCAATGTATGTACGCACGTGGGGCACATGTACACTAGATTTACAAGGTTTTGGTTAAAAGTTATAAAAAGACATAACAAAAAGTTGCAACCAACCAGAGATAGACCAAATGTAAATGTGTTTGCTAAACATACAAATAAACTCGATATAGTTTACAACAGTGGCAAAACAAGTTTTATTTTATCAACTTACCATAATCACTCTTGTAGATTGTAATTACCATGTCTAGCACTTATGGAGTCACATAATGGCCATGTTAGCAAATATAATTCTATACCCACGTGTCGATTTTCGGGATTTATTTCTCACCTACATATGACTTCATATATATATGTCGTCTGCCCAGACTAAGCCGAGTATATACGTACCTATTGTTGTTCGATGTAAGTCAACTATACACCATATTCATTGGTTCGGAAAACACACTAATTCATATTAGACTTATTAAAATTAGGTCCATAGTCTGTTGCGAGGTAATAAAGATGTATATTCTATCTTGGCTCAAACAATCTAACAATTTTTATGTTCAAAATCGTGAGAACTTTGCCAGATGCCATATTTGTCGAACTATAACTTCGTCATATGAGGTAAACGTTATATATATTCTGATTTTCATGTGTTGAAATATTAGTGGACTCAGGGTTAATAACATTTAATGATCGCATATTGATCATATGCTGTCATTTTTGCGACTGACGTAGATGTATTGAACTTGTTTTACATAAGACAACAATATAATTGATCTGTTTACCTTAGAGGCGTGAGCAGTAACCTTTTATTTTTAGTATTATACATCCAATTAATGAAACTTGGACACCCTTTGATCTAGTTTACGACATTAAAGAGAGAGAAGTTAAAAAGCCTTGCCCCACCGTAGGCAAAATACTAGAGAATGCTACTGTGGTTTTACGTATACAAATATTAACCCTTAATTTCGTTTTGGATATGACTGTAGCACAATAGAGTAAACATACTTCCATTGAACAGGTAACCCAAAGTGGTTAGAGTAACAGAATAACACTGTGTGGTCCAGGGTTTGAATCCTTGTGTTGCCCCTCTGAAATTGTACACTCGAAATACTGCTATTGGATATTTTTTGATAATTTTAGTTTTAATGTTTTTTATAACAGTCCCCATATGTATTGGTATCAGAAGGTATTCATCACAGCAAAAGTCATGCCGAGTAAAAACAAGTTCTCAGTGAATAGTTACTGTTTTGGCAGTGGTATGGGGATCCTTAATTCCGTTCTAGGTAAGTGAGAAATTTGCATATAAGTGACGTATACAGATAATAAAAATGTCACTCCGTAGCCAACTGTATCATGTCCAAGCTTTTAACGTCTTGTCGAAAGATAAATGTCCTTTTATAAATTAGCATACCTATATATAATATAACACTACACTTTGTGGTTTTTTAAGACCAAGCCCCATGGCAAAAATTTCAAATATGTGTTTTATGCGGAAAATGTATTGTCATAGCCAACTGCCATAGAGAATAGAAAACAACTATATCTCGGAATACGAACGCTTGTTAGCAATGTGCAGCCGAAGTTATTTTAGTGTTCTTATCACGTGCATTTGTTTTCTTACTTTCTTATCTTCGTATGGACAAACATTTGCTGATTCTTCTTACAAAGGTGAGTATGCCGTCACATTGCTTCGAATGCTTCTATTTGTATAACACAATTTTCACGATTTGGTATTTATTTTTACTAATAAAAAGTACAGGGTGATCACACAACAGACCAACAGCAGCGTACGCACATCATCCGCGTTTCGTCCGCCAGTTGTGACTTAACACTCGTTCGCACCGACGTCAACACAAATTAGCAATTTGGAACAATTGGCTAGTCAATATTACGGAATGAAAATATCCGAAATAAGGTAAATCGTATATATTTCATTTCTGATCGAAATATTTTGAAATATGTCCAATTTTATAATGCGTGTTGTACAGTTTAACAAAAATTGAAACTTTCCAGAATGGGCGAGGCTCCCAGGTAACAGAACTGAAAAGTAATAGTTTGATAATTGACCGGAAATGTTTGGCCTGGCCTGTGCATGACCCATAGATCGGTGATGTAATATGACCTTTATGAAAACACAACTTGACCTTTTATGGTTATTATTTGTGTTTGTGTCTATCTTTGCTGTTTGTCACGCAGCATATTTTCAGACCTCGGAGAGTAGGGGATGTCCCGGGTAACGAGAAATCTCCTAGGTACATGTACATTGTACCCGGCTGCTATGTTTACCTTTTCATGTGTATGGTACCGCGTCTAATTTGTACTGTTCCCGTTTCGATTTTTAGTCATTTAAGAAATTAGAGAGAAAAAAAAATCAAAATAAAAGAAAAATATGCACGTATACATATCATACTTCAAAAAGTCGTTTATTGTTCACCAATTCTATCAATTACGATTGCTATCTCGCATCGTTCGTCCATCGTGCGTACAAATCTACGTAAGCTTTAATCGCCAGTTGTTTTTATCGTTTACACGACGTGCGCACAAATCTGCGTAGGCTTTAATCGCCAGTTTTTTTTATCGTTTACACGACGTGAGCACAAATCTACGTAAGCTTTGATCGCCCTGTGTTTTTATCGTTTACACACCGTGCGCACAAATCTGCGTAAGCTTTAATCGCCAGGTTTTTTTTATCGTTTACACGACGTGAGCACAAATCTACGTAAGCTTTAATCGCCCATTTTTTTTATCGTTTACACACCCTGCGTACATTGAACATCCTATAACGTTGTACGATACCATAATTGTACATATAATTATATTTATACATGTAGATCAAATATGATAAGGAAACTAACCGTGAAGGATAAAACTAGAACTAAAAGCTTAAATTATAGAGAATAACAGAAATCGAGAACAAACCAAAACAAAACAGATGAAATCATGAACCCTTTCGCAGACAAAAGCATGCGATTCCAACCCAACAAAGAATATGTATGGATTCCTTACGCTGTCATCCCTTCAGGTCGGGGATAGAGAAAAGAATACACCTGCTATTTCTCACTGAATGTATCGTAATGTGGTAACCCCCTGTAGATTTGGGAATTTACTTTTGTGTCCTCTACTTAGAGACACAAAATCAACCAAAATAAATCTGCTTATATTTCTCTCTGATTCCAACAACATTTTTCTCCTAGAGCCTTGCTTGGCTTAAGTGTTAAGGGTTCATCCAGGTGGGGGAGGCAATGGGTTCTGTCCAAAGTCCTTAAACATGATAGTTGTTATTCTCTGCTTAACGTTAAGCATTTAGGATAATGGCAACAACTGGTTCACCCGTTGTCAGTATAATGTGACCGGGCGGTACACTGTGCTGGTAGCCTTCGACATGGTATTTCAGGGAGGTAGCACTATAAAGTCGGCATCAGATCCGCACTATCACAAGGAGGCAATTACACCAACATACCCTGTCTCCAGCACATACACACACACACGCATACAAAACACATGGAGGCACGTCCTTAAATGACCTAAGCTGTTGATATGGCGGTTAACCTTATAAATCCAAACCAAACCCTTACATTGCATTCCCCTGTATTATTACACGAGGCGACTAACATGTTTTCCATAAAGAGCCGTATATTTCCATGTTCGTCCACCGCATATGGGGACATCGGAGAATCTATTTTCTTCAAATATTGTCTCCAATCGCGAGCTTAGAAATCGTTCCTGTGTCAAAATTTTCATTCTACGTAGGAAGACCAACCTTATTGTCATTCATTTGATCAGCCATTTACAGTCACACATTGAATTATTGAACGCGCTGATTTCAAACAAATACATAACAGATTCTATAATGTACCGCCTATGAATATAACATTTGATTAAGTTTTTGAGCAATCAATATAGGATTATTTACATTCTATAGATATCTTAAATGCTATTTGATATATATTTTACAACCAAATTGTTCCTTGTTGATTTTATTTTGTATATTTACACCTTTTATCGTTTGTTTTATTTTTAGTTTGTGAATGTCGATTTAATGTGTTGGGTTGTTAGGAGTTTTAGATCCTTGCAACAACCATGGTAAGATACAGAGAAGGTAGAGTAGGAAATCGTATCGATGTAATTCCATCATATTTACAACTCTATGACATTGCCACTGAATAACCTTACCACATTTAGATGGAATTCATATAGGCCATAAATGTCATGAGTCGATTATTGACGTCATTAATTTTATGATAATTGTAATTGTTATAATGGATACCACTGATCCTCCCTAGACAGATGTCTGTTCTATTAACTGAACAAGCATGTACGATAAAAACGTTATTTGAACTAAACGCTCAATAATATATACTACTCGCATTTTGATAAGGATCACCTTTATTTTGACTAAAAATTCAAAGTGTTAGAAAGGACATTATATTTGCCTTCCGAACTGTTTTGGGCGAATATGTTAAAATAAATTGTTTGCCTTCCAAATCGTCCTGTGTGGGTGTGTTCAGTCAACCATAAAAGTGCGTGCACCCTTTTCCACGTGTCGCCCCTTTCACAAGCTAAGGTAGGCTAAGTAAGGCGTTGTTCAAATTGTTAAGGAAATCAATTTGATGAATATTCTTGTGTTTTTCTTTTAATATGCCATAAATACGAACCAGACAACGGTTAAATGACGGTGAAATGAATAGGGGCATCGGAATGCTGCAAGCTAGCATGTCTCAAAGTCAGGTTGCAGCAGACCTTAGGGTGTGTCAAAGTGATGTGGCAAGAATGTGGATTCGTTTCCAAACTAACGGAAACCCTTCCAGACGTCATGCTGGAGGTCGTTCTAGGGCTATTGCGTAGCGCCAAGACCGATTTTTGCTGAAACAGGCACGGCGTCACAGGTTCCAGACTGCCACATCTTAACGAAATGACTTCTTAAATGCTTCTGGTACCTGGGAAGCCACTCAGTCAGTTAGTAACCTCTTCATGATGCTGGTTTAGGTCACGTAGAAAAGCAATACAAATTCCCTTAACTGCCAGCCATACAAGTGGCATGCCCAAGCTCACAGCACTTCGACTTTTAGGAATGGGAACCGGTTCTTTTTGCTGACGAGTCCAGATTCTGTCTTGACTTCACCGACAGACGCGTTAGAGTATGGAGACAACCTGGGGAGAGGTTCAAGGCAGGTAATGTTGTGGAACATGACCGATATCATGGAGGTTCAGTGATGGTGTGGGGAGGCATAAGCCTTCGTGGGAAAACTGACCTCCATATGTCTTTCATACTGGTACCGTTACGGCCCGGATTTACTGCGATTAAAATCCTTGAGGCCTATGTCAGACCCTACGCTGGCGCTATCGGCCATGACTTCATCCTTATGGACGATAATGCTAGGCCACATAGAGCAAGGGTGACTGAGCAGTATCTACAGAAAGAGACTATTCAACGAACGGATTGGCCAGCCAGCTCGCCGGATCTAAATCCCATCGAGCATATATGGGACATGCTGCAACCAGCTGTCTCTGCCAGAAATGTTCAGCCAAGAACGATCCAGGAGCTGGGAACAATTGTTTTGAAGCTGTAATTGATGCTCATGGGTGTCACACTCGATGCTAAAACAGTTTCTGTTTATTTAGGATGAGTTTTGTTTAATTTAGGGTTTAAATTTTCCGACTGTAATTACGATTTTTGGAATATAAAATGTCCTCACATGACGATACTAGGGGATTCTGGGAGATAAAAAATATATTTCCGTAGTTGATGTCGAACAAATATCCCGTTTATTTCGACTTCGAAATAGTGAACCTGTCAATTTATACTAACAAAATCTAAATAACAGCATATAATAGCTGCATTTCAATACCAAACGGGAAAGAGTAGCTTTTCACGTCGTGTAATGGAAGGCATTGTTACAGGGAGATTTTATCTATAAAAATCTAAATTGAATCTTTTGATGTGTAGAATATTGAGAATCATCGTATATGTCTTAGACTTTGTTTCATCTACCGGAAACGATAAGTTTTCAAAAGCGATATGGAATCAGTATGAATGTATATTTGAATTAATAGTAAATAGTTGTGCGTTGATATTTAGTTGATTTACTTCAACCAGACAATTATACGACTTACCCGGATATGAAGTGAGGAAGTCCTACAATAAATCTGCTGTCATTCAAATCCCGCCTACACGAGATAGCAACTTCATTATAGATAGATACTTCTCGCATCTTTCCATTGTATTTATGACTTCACAGTGTGAGCTCATTGAAGGCAACGACGACCTGTTTAGGAAAATAATCATTCCGTTCATCAATAAAAGTTGAATGCGAATTAAAGAAATGTTATATTTTTTTGTGTGTAAATTGTACTTGTTGCCCCTAATTGCATGATCGTAAGAGGCGACTAAATGTGGGACCTTATCTCTTCTCGCCTTTCTAAACAACGTTTTTCTTCCTAATGTCTCCCTTGACAATGCCTCACTTTTGGCCATTTGTTGAGCGTTCGTCCCTGTGAGGAATGTTTTGGGTCCTGTCCCCTGGCCGAGACATACCAGAGTCTGTTAGTGGTAGTTTCTACTCCTGCTTAACGTTCCGCAAATTAGCAGTTGGACGACTGGTTCAGCCGTTGGCAGTATAATGTGACCGGGGGGAGCGTCCTGCTGGGCGTCTTCGGCAGTATGTTTCAGTGAGGTAGCACTATAAAGTCCGCGCTATCACAAGGAGACAAACACGAACATATCGCAGCCTCTCAAAATACACACACATACACTGCACGCATGCANGGGGTGTCCTTAAATAACCTTAGCTGTTAATAGGACGTTAAACAAAATAAAACCAAACCAAACCAAACCAAAGTGATTGACCTATTTCTAGAAGATATACAACAGTGAAGGTTCGGGGAATTAATGGACCTGCTGCCCTACTGCACGTTGTTAAAGCCTACTTATGGTGTGACCCTTACAGAAATCGTTTTCTTCCTTGCTTTGCTTTGAGGATATTAAAGAAACATAAATTGATCTGCTGCCCCTATCACAACATTTGATATCTTAATATGTTCTCTCATTTTTCTACTCCTTTCTGCAGTGTATCCCAAAGTCCCCGAATTGTTGATACGACGTTAAACATCGAAGAGACAAACGTTACTTCGTAACCCGTGAAGGTTCGGGGAAGGCATATGCCTACTGTGTCCCACTGTATCATCGTAAATGTGGGGGCCTCTACCGAGTCGGGGGTTTTCTTCCGTGTCTTCTACAAAGAAATCATAGAAAAACCCAACAGTGATCTGCTGCCTCCATTGCAACACTTGAGATATTTTATTTTTTCCTGTCGTTCCTGTCTTTGTTCTTTTCCATCTACTTTCTGTTTCAGGCGTTATCTCCATAGACACACATCCTTATATGAACCTCCGGGGACGTCAAACCCAAAACTAAACAAACATTTCTTGCTTTCGACCAAGATTTACTTGGAGGTGATGTCAATGAAATAAAATACTCTTACCATGCATACCAAGTATCGTCCTCCTTGCAAATTCTTCAATACTCTTCATGTTAATTTGTCTTTGTTTATATTTTGCCATTGTTTCGTCGATTCTGCGTTAAAATTGCAGTTTTGTTCAAAGTTCGGTATACCCTTTGGTTTGTTTTGGCAAAGGGACCTTTGAAGGCTGATTGAAATAAGTAACGGAAAATATAAAATAAAAATGGTTCCGAATGTATTTTGATTGATGACAATAGTTTATCTTGAAACATAAACATATTTTATTATTCATTTACGCTGAACATAATATACCAGAGTGTCGTTATACGAGCTATTAATGGGATGACAATTTGGGCAAAGCCAACAAATATATTTTGAAGTAATAAAAATGGGTATTTGTATCAAATTGTTGCCCGGTCTGTCAACAAATTAATATGAAATAAAAATTGATCCTGATGATGTAGATCAGGTCTCCAATTTTGCCATTTTATCCTTTCAACAGGATGGTCGATGATTTATTTGATCATCTACAGAGGCACATATCGATATTATATTTCTACCGGATGGCCGTAAAGACTACTATATTGCACGACTTAACCTTGTTGTTGTGTTGATCCTGAAAAATATCGAGCGACATTTACTACGTGTTTCGCACTATGAATTCGGCATTATGTGTGTCTATGGAGATAACGTCTGAAACAGAAAGTAGATGGAAAAGAAAAAAGACAGGAATGACAAAATAAAAACAAAACAAAACCGACTTAAGTAAAAAAAAAATTCTATCAATGAAAATGCATGCTGTATTTATTACCAAAATTTAAAAGTGCAATCAATTCTGCGTTAGTTACGTTCATCATACAAGGCGGTAGACTCCTGTAACATTGATGGCCACAGGTATCTCTTCTGGGTAGTGGCACGGTTTATAATATAACACTTCACTCGATATGTAATGTGAAATTTACCAGCACGTATGTAAATTTTAAATTTATATATCTTTATACTATTTATGCACATCCCCTTTTGTTTCAAGAGTAGTTTAGACCAATTTGGATCCCCATCTGTTAGTCCCTAGTATCAATGGTAAGTCTTAGAAGAACGAAACAGCTGTATGATGCAGTGTAATTTATTTTATTCATACTGTATTTTATATCAAATGTTAAAGGTGCAATCATTTGTGTGCGTGTTACGTTCATCTTTCAAACAGCTCGTTCCCGACATACTTATTAGATTTAAACCCCTTCCCCCTTCTGAAATTTCTGGTCACATATCAAGGGTCCCTAATATCTTAATGTGCATTAAGAGGTTTTGGGCACCTTCCCTCTGGTTTAACAGTAGTTCAGACCAATTTGGATTTGGAACTTGTTTGCCTCTAGCATCACCGATGAGACTAAAATGGACAAAACAGCTGTATGATGCTATTTAATTTGTTTTCCATACTGTATCCATCACACATTATGTAAGGTCAAAATTGCGAAATAATTGGAATCAATGCGTAGACAACAAATTACATTCTGTGAACCTAAAATCGATCAATGGTATCCAAGCTTTAAAGAAAATCACCGGGACGAAGTCGTCCTTACCCGTCTCCGGATGAGTCATTCATACATTACCCCTCCTTATAAATTATATTATAACGCAGACCATAGCCAGCCTCAATGCATAGCATGTGACGAACCATTGACAGCTGAACACTTGTTAAAAGATTGCATTGACCTTCATCGAGCAACAGAATATTTTTACAAATAATACATTGTATAAAAGATATCAAATCTCTTTTCGAAACGGTAAAAATATCTACAGTTCTTACCTACCTAAAACAGTTGGTCTGCTCAAAAATATTAGCTAACAATAGCGAATTTTGCTTTTCATGTTGACGTTTGTCTTTTACCTTTCGTTCGTTAGATGTAAATTCCATTACATTGTTTTGTCCCCTTCTAATTGTCCCTAATGACCTCTTTGGTGGTGATGGGCTGTTAAGAATATGTCTATAGGTATGAAACATTTACTGTCATCAATTTTTTGTATACATTGTTGCAATCCTTTTTTTGTTCTAGTGAGGAGAGCGAAGCAATGCTTGGACATGGCCATCGGATTCGAAACATGCAATTACGTCAGGAAGTATCTTTATAGAGACATACCAAATGCATTTTGCGTTCATTACAAACGTGAATGCTGCATGACATGCATGAAGGAAAAGACGACACGAATGGTAAGATTTGATTATCATCAAAATAGTTGTTTATTTTTATTTAACATGCATAATGCTTGTAAATCTTTGTTAAATCGACGCAGAAAACCAAAATACCCAAAATCTCACACCATGTTTTATTGCATCAAATCGCAATTTCGTCCATTTAATTATCAATAAGTGCATTGGAGTCCTATTAAGTATCTGAACCTGTTGATTTTGAAGACCATGGTGAGATTATGCCATACCGCAGCGTCCATCGTCCGTCAACTTTACCTTCAAAACGCTACAGTACTAGTCCTGAACGGCCAAATAGATTTTGACTGATTTTGTATAAACAGTGAGTCTGGCCCCCTGGGGGCAGAGGGGCGGGGCTCGATAGGGGAAATAGCGCAAAGTCTTCAAGATCCTTCTTCTTCTGTAGGAATGACAGGATTTTGTCCAAACTTGGTATGAGGCACTCTTTGGTGAAGGGGAACCAATAGTGTATTAGCGGTTGGCCTGACACGCCTGAGGGCAGAGAAACAGGCCCAATAAGCGATATAGAGGAATAGCTTTAATATCCCTTTTCTTCCGTTGGGATGGGGCCCAAAATGGGTAATTTAGCAAAATCTCTAAAATTCTTCTTCTGCAGGAATGACAGGATTTTGTCCAAAGGGACGAAGCACCCTTGGGCGAAGGAGAAATAATTTTGTATAAACTGTGGGTTTTAACCCCCTGGGGCATAGGGGCGGGGCCAAATAGGGAAAATAGAAAAAAAGCTTTAAAATCCTTTTTCTTCTGTAGGAATGACTGGATTATGTCCATATTTGGTCTATTGCATCCTTGGGTGAAGGGGAACTAATTTTGTATTAACGGTGGGTCTGCTCCCCTGGGTGCAGAGGGGCGGGGCCACATAGTGGAAACATATCAAATTATTCAAAAAGGATTTTGTCCAATTGCCTATAAATATAACCACTGACTAACAATGAAATACATGTACAGCAACATATGTCTATTTCATCTTCAATTTTTCTAACATTTCCAGGTGAGCGATACAGGCCCTCTGGGACTCTTTTTTTTATTGAAATGTTACTATAAAAAAATAAAAGCATTGATGGCAGTTTTTGTATAATCATCAGTTGAAGAAACAAATATACGCCTAAACTTTTCTAAGAATCCGTTACGTCGGTTTTCAGATCCCCGTTAATCGTAAATATACAGCGATCAGCAATGCAATTAGCTGTTAAAAGGGCAATGCATTGGGATAGCTGATCACGAAAAGTATGTTCAGTTTCAGAATGGTGAACCCCCGATAGCGCTATTTTTACAACTGTTTGGCAACATACAGACCGATTTTCATCATTGAAAGATACATTTATTAATATTTGCTTTAGTTCGCTTGCATGTGCTATTTATTTGTTAGTACGTTGTCTTCACAACAGTAGATATTATATGTAGTAAGGTGTCAACTCTGGTGTTTTGTTTTAGGGTGATATATTTACCATTTAGTTGCAAGGCTTTTGATTTTCAATGCTGCCAGACACTTGTACAACATCTCATATATTATAACTTTATTGTTATTTGTTTTTGAGAGTTATTAAGAGTTCATTTAAAATGAGGAATAAGAGAAAATTCTTAAGATCGATTAAAACCAAAAGAAATGAAAACAAGTTTAAGATTCTATGAATTCACAAAACTACAAGTATTGTGATATGTAAGCTGTGTCATTTACATGGACAAAAAGCATGCACATCAATGTATCTAACGTTATCAATCACCAACTTACTTGTATACTTGTAGATAAAAAGTGCCTTATCACGAATCAGGAAACAAGGTAATGTGAAAGAGAAGAGCAACGTTTAAGACTTACCACCAAACAACTAGATCATTTCCTAAATGCTGATGGTTTCAGGATTGAACAAGAAATTTTATACTCTCGTGGATTGTTGCTGAGGACACCATACAGTTCATAGTTGACAATAAATAATATGATAATTCAGATGACTGTAAACGTATATTTAGCATGTATATAACATGTACGTAACATGTGTTATAAAACCTGTGGGGTTCTTCTGTGTGTTCGGCTTAGGGGACATTTGGTGTGCTGGCTTACAGCATCACTTGGAACCTGTAGCTTTTTCTCTCCATCCTACTATATCGTCTATCTATTGGATGGTCGGGTTGTGCAGTGGATAGCGCACTTGCCTTTCACCAGGGCGGACGGGGTTCGATTCCCCGGTCGGACGTGAAAAGGTATGATGTCACCTGCCCGACCATGTGGGTTTTCTCCGGGTAATCCGGGATCCTTCCTCAATAAGACTCACCAGAAGTTAAAATAACTTGTTACAGGATTGTTGTAAACAAAATAAAGTTTATATTCTCTATCTTGTTGGTGTTGTCTTATAGNCCCCCCCTCCCATACCACTCTGGCAAATACAAAAAAAATCAAAAAGACATCCTTTCTATGGTGTATACATGTTACGTAGTTAAGAAAACTGCATTTAACACCTTGATAATGCAATGTTTTAAATCCTTATGTAGCAGCAATCGAGACTATGAAACAATGTTTTAATTTTGAGTTTGTTTTAACAGTTTTCATTAACTCAGCACACGCATGATATATATGTAAGTTTACAACAAAGACATATCTATTCCATTTGTTTACAGAAAGATATATTGAAAGAAAATCAAAAAAGCTTGACGAGATTTAAATTTGCTTTCATTTGTAATTTGTATGCCCCAAAGGTGTGATTGTAATGAAAACCTCTTGAACATTCCTAGTGATTGATAAAGACAGAAACCCCCGAAGGATTGCCTATCTGCTGTGGTCGGGGTGCTTATGATTTTCGGCAATTGGGAACCGTCGGCACTTTCCGTAAACGAGAAAATACAGAAATTCCGTCTTCGTCGGGGCACGATTTTTGTTTTATCTAAGTCCGTGGTCGGGGTAAATGTCTTCAGAACTGTCATCGTCAAATACCTCCTCCCTCATTGCTTTTTGCTTGCCGCAGCCGACATATAAGATGCAGACATCCCTTTTTCACGTAACACTTTCACTTGGTCCTCTATAATACTGTTCAATGGGCAAATTCTAAGGGCAATATAAGGCGTTGGAGAGTTAAGCTTTCACTGTCTCAGAACAACCAAGGAAGCAACTAGAATAATACAGTTTCACCATAGCCCGTTGGGAGTACACTCGCGACACCGCGTCCTTCGTATAAACTCCTACGTGTTTCAAGCTGCTTTTCCTTCAAATGATTTTGAAAATTGATTTGTGTTTTTCGCAAACTCACCACATGTTTTGAAGTCTGCCATACTGCACAGAAGTGCACCAGTGACTAACGCGTTGATCTTTACACCGGAAGGCCCTTTTTGGACAAGATTTGTCTGTATTACTCTGTCTTTTACTCCCGAGGCATTTTCTCGTTTACGGAAAGTGTCGACAGTTCCCGATTGGCATTTCGGTTGATGTAATTGTAAAGACGTCATACGCCGACGTCATGACTTTGGTTAGTCACTGGTATTACTACATGTAGACTGCTGGAAACGTCTCCGGAAGGCAGGCATAGTGATCCGATGTACACCAAAGCGCCTAGGGAAAATGAAGAGCAAGGGAGGTAAAGATCGTCTTTTAATTTATAGATCTTATAAAATTATTTCATGGCGGGCGCCAAGATCCTTCTAGAAACTCTTGTATTATTATGTACACACAATTTCTTTTTTCCTGTCAGGTCTTTAATCTTGCTTTTAATTCTAGACTAGCTATATGATGTTTTGTGTGATCCAAAAGATCTAACTAAACCTACTCACTTTCAATATCGAAATTGATATTTGTCTTTAACTTTTCCATTTGATTGATGTGGACCATTTACTGGCCCTAATGACCTGAGGTAAAACTCTAAATCCGGGATCAGGACATCCTCGATATCCAGGGGTGACGCTCACTTTCTCTCTCTGCTCTCCTGGAATATGTCATAGCAGAATAGAAGGCTCAGTGTGACTGTCTTGTGTATGAGACGAGAAGGCTAGTTTGATCCTTTGATATTCACCAAAAGATCGCGGTCGCGTAACGGTAAAACGGGTTTTCAGCCGGGCGTCGCTCCTCTGTTATCTTCAAAGGACAAGAATCAGCCTAGTGATTGGTTGTATTTTTTCTACCCGACCCCAATGAAATAGCTAGCCGCCTGCCTCAATGCATAGCGTGTCAGGACCCATTTACAGTAAAGCAATTGTTATTAGATTGTATCGTCTTTCAGTCAACTCGAGAATATTTCTGTAATAACATTACATGTTTTAAATCTCTTTTAGAAAACATAACTGTCTCTTTAATTTTAGGCTAGCTGAAAGCTGTTGTTCTTTTTTAGAAACATGTGAGTCACCATAGCCACTTAATATTCAAATTGATATTTGTCTTCTTCCTTTAAGTTTGTTTGATGTACTTATTTTGTATGTGTTTTTGTCGACCATTTGTTGGCCCTAATGACATATCTTGAGTTGATGGGCCGTTAAGCATTTATGATAATAATAATAGCCGCGTGCCTACAGATTTGCTCTGACATATTCCAGTGGTGTAGAGAGCGTAAACTCTGGTTATCGAGGATGGCATCAGGTCTGTGCTATCGCATGAAAGCAAGTACTCCAACATACCGCCTCGACCCCAGCAGGTCAGGAATTGCAAAAAGAAAATTATTGTTCTTAACCATTACATGTTGTAAGAGGCAATAATGTGTGATCCCCTGCAAAATAGATGATTTGCTTTTGTTCCTCTACTTGTGGACAAAAGAGTGACCAAAATATATCTCCTGCACACATCACAAAGTCTCGAATATTCATATTTCTTCTTTGTAAAAACCGTTTTGTTTCCTAGCACCTTCAGCTTCGCAATACCCCGTGTTTGGGCCTAGTGTTCTCCCAAGTGTTTTGTCCTCAGGTCGGAACTTAAATGGTAGTAATGAGTTCTTGCTAAAAGAATATTTAAAACTTGTTTAACAATAATAGCCCATGTGAAGCCTTAATTTTGGTCAGCTCTCTGAAGTTGTCCTCTAACCTCAACACTAAACAATGGTAGTTTTCAATACACATACACATACATTGTAGTTTTCAGTACATATATATGTATATACCATACCCGAGAAGTTTTTAAATATTGTTTAAAATCACCTGTAAAATGCACTCTCTCTGGTAGATGCAGGTACTGGCTGGACAGAATTACACTAGACCTATCAATTCTGAAGAAATCATTCAAAGAAAATGTTGATGGGCAGACAGACCCCTTTCCATAGGCTCACCTGGCAATCGCACTCCGTGCCAGTTGAGCTAAACATCGTTCGTTGCATCATCGATATCCATGGGTTACGCTCACGTTCGCTCTCTGCACCCCTGGAATATGTCATAGCAAAATTGAAGGCACCATGTTAGCTGCTGTTTGATTGGTCTCAGGTAAAAAAAAAACTGACCGATCGCTAGGCTGATACTTGTCCTTCGAAGATTACAAAGGAGAGACGCCCTACTTCAAAGCCTGTCATTTTTACCGTTACGTGACCGCGAGATTCTTTTGATGTACATCAAAGGATCGAACTAGTCTTCTTGTCTCATCAACAAGGTGGCGCACACTGCTATGACATATGCCAGGGGTGTAGAGAGCGAAAGTGAGCGTAAGCCCTGGATGTCGAGAATGCGTTATTTGTAGTACTAAAATAACTTGGTATCTATTTTAAAATATAACCATGCATTCCATACTTACCAAGCTTATAGATGTTAAAAAAGCCATAAAAATGAGCGCTGAGTGTTCGTGGTTTGTCCTGGAGAATTCAATATGAAATAATACATTTTAATAGGTTGTAGAAATGACTGCGTAATATGCCCCGGAGACTTAATTAATTCAGATTATAAAATAAAACCATTCACCATCGTCACCAATATTGTAAACAGCTCCTTTAAAAGTGTTTCCTGTGACACATAATAAGGATATTAGCTGGTAGTTGGTAGCAATACGCGTTTAAATTAATACTTTTATCAGTGATATCAATGCCTCAAGAGAATATAGTTCATTTGTTCTCGTGAATTATTAACCCTGTTCCTGACATGTTTTCTTTGTCCTTAGCGTTTTTCCTGTTCCTGACATTTTCTGTGTTTCTGACATTTTTCTCCGTTTCCGTATTCCTGACGTTTTAAAATACATGTAGATATTTAATTGTTTCACATTTGTGAAATAAAGTTTATTTTGGTGTATTTCTTCTATGCATGATGTGTGAAATATGTTTCATCCGTGGTTTATGACGTTTATGCAACTTGGTGAAGATACCTTAATTGACTGTATCTGAAGTTGTTTTTTGTTAGAAACATATACATAACATTAAATAAAGTTTAAAAATGTAGGGCTCACGTGGCTGAACTTATCAACCCTACATACAGACGAAACAGATCAATACTACAGGTACTGCATGTAGCTGTTTGTACATGTTCATCATTTAACACATCCAAATGAGTCTACCCATTACCAAACAGCACAGCAATTTTCTGTGATATCATTGTCTGTCACCTACCATGTATGAACTCGTTTTCAATCATTGTAAATGACGTTCGGCTGATTGAGGTCACATGAGTATACATATAGGTCATGTGTCTACTGATGATGTGAGAACTGAAGTGTCATGGCACAGGAAGGTGCTAGACGCCTCAGTATATATATTTATATATATATATATATATATTGCTCTTGACACTTTGTAGTAATTTGCCACTGTGGATGAAAAGGTAATTTCAATTATGTGTGTCTAGCTTTATACATAGTTCACCTGCCAAATTGGAAAGTCAGCTCACAGCCTGGCGCATCGTCCGTCATCAACTTCTTAATTTACAATTACGTGATATTTAGCCATTAACATGCTGGAGTAAAGGGCTAGCAAGTTTGTAAAATAAATGACCGCGACCAGTTTTCAAAGTCACAGGGTAATGGAGTATTCTTAACTGTTTTAAGGTAATGATAAAGTGCCAACAGCTTTCCGGGATGAAGAGCTATCACGTATGTTAAAATGAATTGCCTTAGGCCACTTTCAAGGTCACATATTTCAAACAAACAAAAAACATCTTCCAATGCCAACTTCATCTGAATAGCCAAGAGGCCTTGGATCATGATATTTTGCCAGAAGCATGTTGGGATGAGGGGCTGCTATATTTGTTGAAATAAACTACCTTGACGGCAGACTTTCAAGGCATAATGGTCAATGTGTTTAAATATGTTTAAAAATCTTTTTTAAAAGCCAAGACATCCAGGGTATAAATATTTGGTCAAAAACTTGCTCTCTGCACCCCTGCAAAATCGAAGGCTCAGTGTGCACCACCTTATAAAAGACGAGTAAGATCCTTTAATATACATCAAA